TAGCGCGGTGGTGATGTGCGACGGTATTTATTTATTTTGGAAGGAAGGCTGTAATTAACCCTAAATAACAGCCCTTGTAGCGTGCAGGGGGGAGCCTGCTGGCCCCATCAAAGCGGGCAGAGCAGGGAGTGACTGAGTGATGTGAAGTCGCAGATACTGAAACTATGTGCCTGATAATGATATAATTAGGGGATCACAGACTTCTGGCTGCTCTTGACTTCAAAAGCTTTAAGAGAAGCCTGCAGTCTCTCCTGTAGCCATCTTGACTAAAAGCAGACATTTTTCCGTAATAGCTACATACAGTAACAAGAAAGAGGAGGGAACAGAAGGGCATTGTTCACTGTTTGAAAATACTAAATACCCTTTCTGGCCTTTTACATAGCACAGGAAGAAACTTTATGAATTGACAGAAATACAGTTTTAATACAGTAATACAAAGTTCATTCTGTTTCACCGAAAACGTGGCTTTAATTAAAAAGCAGTTGAATTAACCTGATGACTAGCCTGTCAGATCTTGTTTATAAGATCATCTTAGGTCAATAAAATGTAGAATTTTGAGCGGGATTGTATAAACAGTAAAAATGCAAGTGTGTGTATTGTTTCGCTTTCCTCCCGTGCTGTGCTGAGACTCATGAAAGGACTGTCAGCTCTGCTGGTGTTCCTTGTTTGCATCTTATTTTTAACTCCCATACAATGAGAAAATTATGAAAATGATTTTTTTTTTCAGAGAGGCATGGGGGAAGACCTCACATAGAATGCTTAGAAAATAAATGAGTCTTTTTTTCCATAGCATGCTGGATGACAATGTGTGTGAATTCACGAAAAATTAGGTTACTTGGTCTAAAAGCCCAAGGGAGTTGGACTGGAGACAGTGAGACACTCCATCATTTGGCTTCTATTAAGCAGAGTTATTAAAGAGCAGCAGGAACTTCAAGGCCTGGAGCCTGCAGTAGCACTTTGGGGAAAGTATTAAGGTAGACTGAAGAGGGAAAGCCAACTTGGTTGGGATGATTTTTAACATCTTTCAGAATATTTTTTGGATATGGGGTGGGAGGAAGCATCATAAGGAGGGGTGGCAGCAGGGAAGCCTGTAGATCGATTTTTTTGGAGTGTAGTCTGTAGAAGGAAGACATCTGACAATTCAGTTGACTTCACAAACCTTGGTGCTGCTGCTATGATTGTAAGTACACCAGACACATTAGAAGTAGTTTGTAAATCCACTTTTCTAAGGATGGCTCCAAAACCTGGCTTTCTCCTAAACCTTGGATCGATGGCACATTGAATTATGTTTGAGTTGCGACTTGCCTGGAAAGAGTAGGTTTTCCCT